GTGCGCGGTGCAGTACTGGGTAATAAAACATATACAAGCGTTAGTTGGCGTCTTACACTAGCTGCGTAGAGCGTATCGTTTTTTTACGCTCCCAATGAGCGTTGTTGGCTCTCTTGTTCTATTTATACTCTTTGGTTGACACCATGGTTGACACTGTGTTTGTTACCGTCCATCCAGCGTTACCAACAACAATTTTTTTACGGTCGAATACAATAATAATTAGGCCCTATATGAATCATGTCAATAATGTAGAGTATTATAATTGATTGTGTAAACGGCTTATCAATGGATCAACAAGAATTTAGGTCTGTAAAATTTCATTTTTAAATCATTGTTTTTTTTAATTTTTTATTTTTACCAGAACCTTGCCTAGGCTTAGGCCCTAGGTAGGCCTAGGCATAGTACTAGCCTAGGCGAGGCCTAGGCTAGGGCCTAGGTCTACATACAAGCCTAGGTCCTAGCTAATAATAAGGCTCGGCCTAGCCAGCCCGCCTAGCCTAGGTCTAGCCTACTAGGCGCCGCTAGGCGCTGTACGTCGGCCTAGGTCTAGGTCTAGCCTACTTACTTAGGCCTAGTGTATTGCCATTATTGGTAGAGAGAGATTAGATCATCTAATCCTACTACTAGGCTAGGCCTAAGGTTAAGGTTGTACTAAAGTGAATTAGCACCAGTGGACCAGTACTAACACAAGACTTCCCCAGCCTAGCCTAGGCTAGGTCCAACTAGGCCTAGCCTAGGCCTATCTCTAGCAAATTTAAGGCCTACAATACAACACAGACAGTTATTTTTAAAAGAAAATTTGAAAGTTTGGACAGAACTGTATCTGTTTCAGTGACCGCACGCGGCACATTGTACTGAACCACCAAATTTTAACACTACAGTGGTTACCAATTCCTGAGTTTGCCTGAATACTTTGTCACAGAGTTGCTGATGACATGTTTAACTTTCGGGTCCTACTAAATACCACACGGGACCACTCGCGACCACACGGAACCACTCGCGACCACACGGGTGCAAAAATGATAAAAATATTACCACACGAGAGTAGAAAACTACTTAATAATCAATAGAAACCAACTTTTAGTACGGTAATTATCCAAAATATGGTAAAAATGATTT